CTTTTTAGAGTTTCTGAAAAACTGGTTTTCCAGAAAATCGGGTCTTAAAGGGCCCTCCGCCCAAATCCTTTTAACCTTTTTGCCTACTCGAGGTCCTCTATCGAATGATGTATGAACGAACCAAATCGGAGCCGGACACCTGGGGCGGTTCCCTCGTAAGTAAAAAAAATTGAACTATTTCTTTTTCTCACAAACAAAAAACAAGAGCAAAACCTCAAAGGAGGGAACTAGTCAGTGGTTTTTTAGTATTTTTTCTTCATAAGTTTCAATACCAACAGTATGGCAATTTGTTTGATGAAATGTCAGAAGCAAAATAATGTTGGATTTTGGATATGAACAGCTTTTAAACGAATACTTGTAATGACTAAAATAGGAGAACATTTGTTCTGCGACTTGAGAATTGAAATTCTCAAAAAAAATTATTGTGTGGTGCATCATCCGGTCGCACAACACCTTTGCACATGTCTCTCATATGGTTTTTGACGTGGAAGCGATCGATTACCATTCGCATTGTATAAAAAAATTTTGTTCTGTCGGATTCTTTCATAAATTCTCCACCATACTGATTTGAATGAACAAATACAATGCTCATGCTGTATCATAACACATGACTGGAGGCAATGGACCATTCTCAAGAATACGTATTAAGTGACGCACTACTCTACGCACTGTAAAACAAAAAGGAGAAAACTTTGTTGGCATATAAGGCCCATAAAATGCAAAATTTATTTTGTTCTATTTACACATGCCTGAAGAGTGCCCATGGAATTATTAAGGAAAATCACGGTTTTAAATTTTTAAAACTCCTTTCTGTGAGAAAAAACTTGTAAGTATTGAAATTTTAAAGTTAGATAAAATTAAGTGAAATTTTCAAAAGCCAGTAAAGTTCTCCATTTCATAAATTACGCATGAACTTTATTTTATATTACACCATTAATGAATCGAAATTTTTTTCATGGATACGATATTAAAATCAGCTAAAAAACCTTGTTTTAGCTTGTGTCCGTGAGGACTTGATGTGTTTGCAAGATGGGTCACTGGTATTTCCAGGACCCTGCTCACGTTTAACTAACTCATTGACCATTTTAATGTTCAAAAATGTCAAATTCAGTTTTTAATACTCCATTTACACGGCAAATTAGAATAAAATAATTTTGGGTCATAAAAAGTACATTGCGATAAAAAGTTTGCTAATTTCTAAGAATTTCACTCAGTTTAATCTAACTTCAAAATTTCTACACAATAAGTTTTGTTCCTCATAAAAATGGTGCCGTGTCTTGCCCTGTGAAGTATTTTCGGATCAATGACAAATATGGTTTTGCTTACTTTGAGTCGTTGTTAGATAGCTTTAAACACGAGTCAAAGTATAACATTTGGCGTCCCATATAAAATCAGTGATATCTCATTTTTGTAAGTAAAAAATAACTAAAAGTTCGTCTTTTCATTGATTCAGCAGTTTTTGGATCAACAAGCTATTTTTTTTATTTATCACACTTCCCCCTTAGCTTTTCTTGCTCTATTTGTATATTAGCAGCGAATTATACTCGAGTACTCAAATATGCGCATGTGAAGAGTTCCTTTTACTTTAAACACGCTTCATACAAAGAAGAATATTTAACTTTACTCTTTGTCGTTATGCAATGTGCCATTTTCTTTTTAACCGCATCACCGATAACATTCACTTGTTTATCCTTATTTGTGTTGGTCCCCAACAGAAATTGATGATGATGCTATTGCTTCCCTTCTCTTTTTAAGATGCCGGAAATTCGAGCTTTCTGAAAAAAAGCTTCCGTGTTTTAAGTATGGTTAGATAGAGCTCGCTCACTTACATCGAAAAAAGTGAATTCTACAGTTTTCAAAGTCATTTTTGGGTGAAAAAGTTCAAAAATACTGGTTTTTGGAAATAGGCAAAACTAGTGAAATTTTAAAAACTAAGAAGAATTCTTCTTTTGGTTCTTTCTTTAAAATTCCAAAACTATTTTTTCATCACCTGCAGGGTTGGTCACGATCACATTGTTTTAACTCACCTTCTGTAAGTGGTAAACTCTGACAAAAACTTGTATTAGTACAACAAATGAAGATGTTTACAAAACATTAACCAAGTTAGTGATAATGTTTAAAGATCAGTCATGGCATACGTAGGCAGCTTTGAATCAGTTGTAGAAGAAACCACGATTTTGATAATTGTATATACACAGTCAGAGAATGAAAACAATAATATCTGAATGAAACATCTTACGGAACTGATTTTGATATTTGATTATTTGATCTCTGAATTTCTTTGTTTTTTTCCACCAAAATAGTTTTTAATTTTAAATGTTTTCTTTGAAACGTATATATATATATATACACATATATTTTCTTTCCTGATCGTTCATGTCGGTTATATAATTCGGTTATACGATGAGAGTGGCAGACGATCAAGCAAGAGAAAGTCTTAATCATTCTTTTATTGATGATGAAAAAAGTGTCTTAATTGCCAGTACATTCAAACAGATGCAAGTTTGCTGGCTTTCGAAAATTCCACTTAATTTTAACTAACTTTAAAATTTCAATACAAGTTTTCTCTCATAGAAATGAGTTTTAAAAATTTAAAATCGTAATTTTCCTTAATAACATGAGGGCTACTCTCCAGGCATGTGTTAATAGAACAAAAGAAATTTGAAATGTTGCATTGTTTGCACTTGCGTTTATATGTACGAGAGAACAGTTGGAAAGGTTACTCACTTCCTTCGGCCATTGGAAGCTCGTCAAAGCTAACAATGACTTTATAATTCAAGAACTTGCTTTCGATCGTGTTCTTACACCTGTTGTTGCTGATTTTGTTGGTGGTTTTACATCTTTCATTGTTGATGTTAACTGTGGTACATGTGACGCTGTCACTCCTTGTTGCTTTTTGAACATTTTTTTCAGTTCTTCACTGTGAGCCTGATGTTGTTCACAATAATTTGGATCAACAGCTAAATGATTGTATATGGCTAAATAAATAAATAGAGCAGTGATGTGAGGTACCTCTAGGTGAATGAAGTTTTAAGAACATTTACTTTTTCTGACTGGTGTATACGGGCAACCAATTTGAACGCCAGTAGGCTCGAATTCAGGAATTATATGGTCATAAATGTTTCTGTATTCACACACGAGACGATTAGCTTTTTGGTGTCCATCTAGGATAAATACCTTTGAGCAATCAGCACCGCATGTGCGTGTAAAGTGACTATGACGAGTCCACGTAGACAAAAATTGCTCATAAAATTTATCTTTATTTTCTTCAAGGTATTGATTTCTTTGTTCTTTATCCCATAATGATGATGATGTTCATCTCTTCATTCGACGTTGTCATGAATTCAAATCTAGCCAGGCTATTGAACAAACAAATACTCTGAAATGATCTTTCACTTCCTTTTATCAATATGTATGGCACTTTTTTTTCCACTAAAAGAAAGGAAGAAATGGCATAAAGGAAAACCGTCAAAAAGAATAGACAGATATTTTCTTATAATTTTATTTGTTGACATTTTTCGATTACGGAATATAATTCATTTTGTGCTGGAGCAAACCCAGAGAACGACATAGGATTAACCAGAAGATGTTTTTCAAAATTCTGAATCAATTTTTGCTCATAGACGTATCCACCAGAAAAATAAACGTATTGCTTGTTTTTGATCGACTCATGAGTCAAAAAACAGTCTTCACCACGTTTACCGTATGGATAATGATTTGGATAAATACGAATTAAACAATCAATATTTGCACAATATGATACAATTTTTTATCTAATCCATTTGGTAAAATATCTGATAATTTCATTGCACATGCCAAATGATTGAGTTTGATTTTACGAGATAAATTTATTAATATTCTCTCCTGTTCTGACACACCAACTGTGTATTGATATTGTTGTTGTTGAACGTTGTCCACGTCCATCTTTTCATTCATATCTGAAAAATGAAAAAATAAAAACCTTTTTTCATAACCCGCCTTTCTTTTATATAGTGGTCTACCTCGCCTCTGTTTTTTAGCCGCTCCACTTTCCTATTTAGCTTGACTTCTACAGTGGTATGACGAAAGAGTCATTTTTCATTACGATAATATTCTTGTTATTTCAAATGCAGTTGGAAATTTAGAATCCAACGCTCAGAAAAAACACACAGACTTCGATGTGATAGAGAAAAAACAACAGATAATATGTGCAGTTTCCTTCGCACTGTATAACAGAAACGTGTTAAATCCTAATTTCAAAAAACCAAAACAAATTTCTTTTTCGGTCTAATTAAAACAAGTTTCTTAGTTCATTTTCTTTTTGGCATTTTTTGTAATTTTAAAACCAATTGATGATTGTCGCCCTCTTTACTATCTTCACCACCGTGATCATCTAGATCATGATTTCTATTTGTACGTATTCGTTTTTTTATTGTTGACTCTTCTTGAGGTGGAGTAACTACAATAAACATACAGTGCTGGTCAAAATTGTAGAACCATCCTATCGACCTGTTTTCTTTTAAAATTTTTCTCTTCGACAACCTTCTGTGTCCGTTCCAGTTTTACTGTAAATATAAAGGTTCGAGCGTGCTCTATAGTTCTGATACACCTCATAGTTTTAAAAAAAAGAAATTTCAGTAAAAAATGACTAGCTATCAAACCTATGTATGAAAGAAGAGAAACTGTAAGACACACCTTTTTTGCTGTTTGCTGTCCTGTCACTAATAATGATTTAATTGGAAATATCTGCTGTGCAAAAACAGTTGCATTACTTGTTATTGAGTACGATTTACCTCCGTCAGCACCAACAGTCTCAACAATATTTTGATTCTTCGATTGTACTTGAATAAGACCTTTTATTTCTTCTTGGTATTTCGCGTATTCGGATACAAGCACTGCACATGTTTTGAAGAACTCAATTCCAATTGATCCGAAATAAAGTCCCGGTGCCATTTTTGCATGTTTATGTCGTTGTTCATAACATACAATTGCAATTTTTCTTTCATTTAACTTTTTAACAAATTGTTCACGTTCTGGTGATGAATTTGGAATGGGAACTTTCCAATATGTCTTTTGCACTCTGTCACCACCACCGACACAGTAACGATCAACAGAAATCAATTCATCTGTCAATAGTTTTTGAATTGCTTCATCAAATCTGTAAATGAATGATTTAAATTTTCCACTGAAGCGAGAACAAGAAAACAGAAAATGCAGGATTTGAGAGAAGAGTAGGGGTAAAATATCCGTTTACCGGGTTCCTGTGTCCGGATTATGATATCAGTTATGATAGAGCTAAATATTCGGCTTATGATATCAGTCATAATATTCAGACAGCGGCTTAAAATGGTTTTCAGAATCGCTAGTTTCCCACTAAAACTGTTGAAACTTTCATAAATGACATGGTTTTGATTGGCACACACGTGCCAGTCAACTAAGCTAATCGCAGTTATATAACTTCAATGTTTTGTAACTGCGATTTTTAAGGTGGCCTCAGCAACTACAACCAGCCTGAGAAATCTTTTTTGCTTTCATCAACGAAATTAGACTACAAAACCATGCCATTTATGAAAGTTTCAACAGTTTTAGTGGAAAACTAGCGATTTTGGAAGCCATTTTAAGCCGCTGCTTGGATATTTCTGCTATACTTAAAAAATAATTACCGCAAAGTTAACTAACTGATAGTTTGTCTTTGCCATTATTTCAACGGTAACCGGAAACGCCGTTATGGTTAAAGTAACGGTAACTGTCTTTTCGGTTACCGTTATTTTTAACGCTAACTGAAAAGGCAGTTATCGTTACTTTAACGCCAACTGTTTTTCTAGTTACCGTTGTCGATATTCCGGATATCGAATGCGATCTCCGGATCCTCCAGGAACCAAATATCAGAACGCGAAAGAATTGAGCAGATTCTCATCTCTGGATCCGATCGGACGCTCGATGTTCGGAAATCATCGGAATTAAAAAGATCCGGCAGGATTCGATCGAGCGAATACCACATGGGAGGTGACAACTTATCAGTATCTATTTCTTTTAAAATGAAGTTATGATCATACTTCATACATGTGAAGAAGTCTATTAATATTCTGCGAAAAAAACGATTACTCTTCTTTTGATCAAGTACTGATGTTATCAAAGGCATAGATTAATCTTTTCGCTTTGATTATATATAGTTGATTTTTCACAAGCTTTTTCTCAACGAAAGCAGCAATCCAATTTGATTTTTTGAATTAAGAAGTTTATATGAGCCGACAAAGTTAAAGTAATTGGAATAAAATTTGAATGAAAGAAATATGCTACGGATGAACTGATGCCACTATACCGATCGGCGTTATAATTCATACTGCTATCAGTACCGGTTGCACCTCTGATAAAGACCTTTATAAATAAGAATAAAATTCAACGACTTTCAGTAGTTATTAATAACTGAAGGATCGATGTGTTACGCATAGTAACATACCTCGTTCTTAGGTTTGGAAGTAACCATAGTTGAAAAAATATTTAACATGAATTAGAATATATGTTGGCCGATGCTCATGAAACTAATATTGTATGTGGAACGAATACATTTAGTGACCAAAACGCACAAGAATATGATCGTGATCTCTTATTATTCCAACCATACATTATGCATAAAAACTATCAAAAAATCGCACACTCATATATTTATTCATTCAACTAGAACCTCCCTAACACACTTGATTAAAACATGTAGTTTTCATTTACCGACAGAGCTTCTTTTTTTATTAATCATCATTCTTTCTGAAAAAGATTTTATCGTACAAACTGGCGATCCAGTCGTTAAAGTAGGATTTTATACGCACACGTTTTCATTCAAGAATAATCATATCTTGTTTTATTATTCAGGCGGCGTAAAATAACAAATGATTTTTGATTCTGTATTTATATGATTCAAATATTCAATTGATAGTGTAGGTCACCTTGTTCCGGGTTTCATACCAAAATCATCGACACTGTATTCTTTACTTGTATGTGTTCTGACATTTTCGACCAGGATTTCAACAGAATGATTTTTGTAATCGGATTTAACAAACAGCATTCATTTTTTTCTGAATAAGGTTTACACACCATTTTATCATGACCTATAAGTTAAATACACATATCACTTAACTTGAGAAGAGGCATTTTGATTCATTATAAAAATCTGTAATGGATTCTGTGTCGAACACTATTGAGAGAAACGCGCGTCACATTCATTCTCGCCTTCGCAGTATTTGTGAGCAAGTAAAAATGAGCTCTTCAATGTTAAAAACTTCTTCTGATTAAACCTCTTTATGGTTTAGAAAAAAATATTAAGTTACAAGTTTTATTATGATTTTCTCAATGATCAACAGATATTGTGTTGCTTTTGTTTCTAAACATTTTCCAACACATATTCGTCTACCAGCCAAAATGTCAGAAATGAGAAGAATCTTATCTGTTCTAATAGGGACAAAGGAGAAGAATGTGGAGAAGAAAACACATACAATTTGCATGAAAAATTTTCATGTTTGATTGCCTTTTGAAATTCCAAAACCATTTTTTTCTTATTCTCCATCGGAAACCGAGGCAAGTGATCGATGCAATAATTAACAGTATTAAACCACAAAGACAATAAATTGTTAGAATCCATAATGAGGTATATCCACTTGAGCTGAAAAAGCATTTGAAACTGATAAAGTTTTTCTAAAATTTCAGAACGTTTTCCCTTTCACCCCTATCCCGTGATTAGGACTTTTAGTGTGCAAATGTCGTTTTGGCTGATATGCGCGCATCAAGAAACGACGACGAAGTACCAATGAATTTATGCAACCGTAAAAGTATACAGTCAAGGATGACATTTGAAAAATGACTGAAGCATGTAGCATACTTAATAATCGGGCTGAATTAAAGGTGAAAACATTGCTTGTTCTTAGTCTTATTTTCATCGTGGTATTGTATAGTGCTCCTCTAAATGTTTTAAATCATTTTTAATGGTACCAAGTGTTAGTAATCATTTTCTCAATGATGTTCAGTGCATTTTTGTATGTGTTTTAGCCTCCACCTAACTTATTTGCAACTTCAGTTCCATGTACAAATACTGTATTGAGAAATCAAAAAAGCACTCCTAGTAAAGACACAAGCCTGGGTGTATATAGTCAAGAAAGATATGTAAGAAAAGATAACGTATCAAAAAAGCATGATGTAATATAAACGATGATATCATAGGAAGGCATGATCTGATAGTGACTATATGAGAAATATATTTCCTAAAAAGGAAATGTTTTTTTTGTATAATAGTGCAGTAGTTTCAATGACGTTTCTGCATCTCGATCCATTTTAGGTCGCATGACCTAACAATGATGAGTACAATTCAAACTGGTTCACCAGAGGATAGTATTCTGATGGATACTTTGATTTGGTTTTCGGTAGCGATCAACTGGACATTCGTCGAAATTACAAAAACGCTAACTTTTTTGCGTCTATTTGTGTATTTTATTCTGCTTCTCATCCTACACCGGAAATAGTAATGGGTCTAACTAACTAACTACCTTTGTGGCTAAATTCGCTACAAGATAGATTGCTCAAATTTTACTCTTTTCAAAGCTTATCCTTGAAATAATTGGTTGTAAATATTTTGCTTTTTTTAACTTAATATGTTTTGGTTTTTAATTTTTTCTACGCTAAATTCTCGTTTAAAGATCTTCAATATTACATTTTATTCAGCTTTCTGTTGTTCCCTCTTCCGTCTGATACAAAACTACACCATACGACTCATTTGACGATTTATTGACTTTTCGAATTTTTACTGATATATTGTCATAAATGGATCATTTTCCTTTTATTACGGGTAAAATTTTTTGTTTTTCCAGAAAGGTTAACAAATCGTTGTTTTTCTATAGATCGTGGAAAGAAAAGAATAGAACAGAAAATGGCATCAACTGTACTAACTGAATTATGTTGTACAGAAAGAACGTGATAAAGTAAAGAAATGTAAAGAAAAAGAAAAGTAAAAGAAGGCCTTTTCTATCAAAAAAGCTGCTGTTAAAACCGATTTTCGTAGAAATTTGCCCATATACTAAAATTCTCATTAAAGTAAATCAATCTGCTACAGAGGCCACAATAGTAAAGTATGCTTTAGTTGCAGAGTAAATCAGATATAATGGCAACTAAAGATGCTTTTGACTTCCTGGAATAAAGCGAACATAAAGTTGCTGCTCTAATTCAAACTTTTCATTACATGACTACCTACGGCTACGGCGTAATCATGACTGCTCCTTCGTTTGGTGTAATCTTCACCATTTTTTCTGTTTTACAAAGATTTCTTTCATATGTTTCATCGCTCTCATGTTCTTAGCTTTCACAAAGTATTTTTTTTAAACCTCTGGTAGTGAACTGCTCGCTGACCGAACATGTTACCGCACACGCCGGTAGAACACATTCACTCACATTGTACTTTAGTTCGTCTATTTTCTCACTGGTTAGCTCTTTCAAAACTTCAGTTTCATCCTATTTGTATTTCGTCCAGACTAGGAATGCAACCATCCCAAGCTAGGGCTCGCTGATCGGCAGCGCGCTTGTTCGGTAGGGAACCGTTTGGTGGCGATCAGCGAGCCCTAGCTTGGGATTGTTGCATGCCTATACACACTCCTCTTCAATATATGCACCTAAAGCCATGTTAAATAAGCTTTCTTCTTGTTAGATACATATTTTCTTTCCTTGCTTCATTTTTATGTAGGATTAAAGGTATTATACATAGAATAATTGTGTAGATATAGGTTTTTCCTTTCGTTTTTATACGTATGTAATATGTCAACCGTGATATTAAATGCGAAAACAAAATACGGGATATTATAATTTGGATATCACACATTACCCATGGAAAAATTTTGTCGAAGTTCCACGATATTCACGGGTGTACACGCCGTATTATATACTAAAATTTCCCCATAGCTTCTTTGAAAAGATCCATTGTGTATGATTTTGTACAGCACTTTTCGCCAAACTGACTGCCTAGAAGTTTGCGTTAGCAGATATAGTACACCATGGATACTATCTAGAACCACGATTAGAAACTCGAGGTTGGATAATTCACCAGAGAAAAACCACTTAGAAGTACCTACTCTAAGCTTATTTAAATTTTACTGTATATTGAATTTTTCGCACTCGGGTCAAGTATTATTGCATTTCTCATTATGCGTTGAAACGTTTGTTATAAAGCTTTCATGCTCATTTTACAGAGACTTTTCCGTCCTACAACATGAATAAATTTATCTTGTGAAACTAGGGAAAAGAAAATTTTTCTTAGCACTTTATGCAAAAAACCATTCTTTTTAAATGACGATTTTTGAGGATCATAGGATCAAGTATTTTGCACTTTTTTTTCAAACTTCTTATGCTCATTTTATAGAGAATTTCCAGCTCTACAAAACGACGAAATTTATTTTTTAGTCCCATGTAAAAGAAAACTTTAATGATGAATCTATGCGAAAAAATCATGTTTTTTAAATGAGTTTTAATCGATAACTCTTTGAGTGTGATTTGAGTATATTACCTCAAGGTTGCATAGTCAACTCTGCTCGAATGTATCATTTTGTTCTGGTTTTAATTCTCTTTCGAATGAGCTAATGCTAAAAAGAGTTTGATATATGGCTTTTGAGTTATAGCCAAAGTACTGAAGACCTGTCAGAAATACACGCGTTTTGTAAACTTTAATGAGGTTCTTTCGAAAAAAATTGATAGCTCAACAATAAAAGGGCCGCAAAAACTAAAACTTTGCATTTGTATGTTATTTTGGATCTAGAACCGAATGATAATAGTGTAAAGGAAAAAAAATTTTCAACTTGTTATCACTTCTTTAAGCAGGTGCTCGATCGGCTGATGGAGCCTCTCAACCATTGTACAAGTCATTTTGTGTAATAATTAGGGATATTTGATGCTCACAGTATAATCTAAAAGTCTAGTATTTCCGGTTCTGATCTCGTAGCTTCACTGCATATTACTTCTTTGAAACATTGGTGAAACATGTCTGCTTTCCCTTCATTTGTTGTTACAAGCCAGACTTGTTCAAATGTATGACGTTGTTGTGTTGCCAAATTCTCGTTCAATGGTGACTGTAATTCTTCAGCTAATAATACTGCAATTTTCTTCGGATCATTTTTATACGCACCCGTTCCCATGGGTCCCAATAACAAATATGTGTTCGAACCATTACCATCCGAATTAGCCTGAGCGGCACGAATTAACGTTAGAATCTTTTTACGTGTATTTTCGATGGGTTTTGCAGGTAACAAATAGAGACCGTCTTTTTTAGTGAAATCGTAACAAGAAACAGCGATAACATCGATCTTTCGTTCCAAGTGTTGTTGTTGAGGATGAAAGAATGTGACGTTTTTTATGTAGAGACCACCATATTCTGGAATCATAAAGCCACCATTGAACTTTTTATATTTGAAATCCAAAAGTGCACGGTAGACATCAGAATTATAACAGATCGATTCCTCTTGACCTGCACCACCGTATAAAAATGAGCCTGTAGAGAAAAAAGAGTGTAGTCTACTATGAGTCTACTTTTGAGATTCCATACCTCCTGGGATTCTGTCATTGGCAAAGTGGAGTAAAATAACTTGTTTTCCTATTGGTACTTTAAAAATAGCCTGCTCCAATTTCATTTTCTCAACATGAATTAGTCCTGGATTTTGTCGCAAACTAACTGGAAATTGTATCATATTTGCTTGTGCATCATGATCGGCAAAACCTCGTGTTGACGAATTTGTATACGGTATGTTATCGATTTGAACATGATTAAAATAGATTTTCAATTCTTCCGATTTAAAACCTAGGTATCGATAAGTATTGATTAGTTTCCTTGTTTGTTTTGATTTTGCGCTGATTATGGTTGATCGACTGTGGAGTTCCCAGTAGGAATCGTACAATTTACTTTTTGTCAGATCATACTTGAACATGTCAATTTTTTTTAATATATCATAATCTTGCTGAAGGGTATTCCAATTGATATCCTCTTTGGTACGTTTTAATGTTTGAAAACATTTTAATATGAGAGTGGTTAATCGTGCATCGGTAAATGAATTCATGGTTAGTAGATATTGTAGCATTACTTTACGACCACCATGTTTATCAACGCGTTCTTTTGATTCAGCATCATTAGCAGCGAACGCTATTGATACCATGCTCATAATCTCAGTTTCACCTAGGGCGGAACATGGGATGTAGAGAGGATTATCATTAACTTCCTCGATGAGTTTAGGACGTTGAGCATGTTTGGATATCAAAGCGTGCAGTGCAGACATTGCGCAAAAAAGTGTATTTATGCACACTGTGATAAACACATGTACACACAAAATTACTGAAGCATGTCATGTGACTCATGGCTAATAACCTCTTGAAAAATAGCTTCTTTATTTTTAACGTTGCATATGTATAACTTACGGAGCCTCACCCAAATAAGCTATAAACTATAAACTTTCGCTATGAATATCTAAACCCCCCCTCACATTAGAAGCCCGCCCCATAATACAAGCCCAGTCTGGCAAGAAATTTTTTAAAAATTGCCCCTGCCCCCATAGGGTACTTTTTGAGAAAATTTTGCCTTTCTTGCGGGACATAACAGAAGCCCACTGGGCTTCTAATGTGGACGGGGGTTTAATACCCATGCGTTCTTGATCAGCTATACGGCTTGTCCAGCTAACGGTATTCTTTTTCGCTCTTTTTCAAAAGATTATTGCAGTAAAGCTACAAACTAATCTAAAATTGCTACTACATAGTTAAGTACATTAAACACTTCTCTACAAAATGAAAAGTGTCTTGGCTCTGAATGTTGATTAGTTATGAAGACACAGCTGTCGCACAAACAGCCACAAAATCGATTTTGGAGCTATCTGAAAAACGTGTCTAAAAGACTGAAGACGAGCAGGCGAAAATTCAACAAATATATCAGTTTGTAGAAAATTGTTTGCTCTACAAGATGTGATAGCTTGTCAAGTTCGAAACTATTCTAATTAATCTGTATTAATCAAAGAAAAATCAGAAAAACCGTCACGGTGTGCCAGTTTTGACCGTTTTTTGTCACACCGTGACGGTTTTTCTGATTTCTTGAAGATATATAGTACTCAACGTACTCTACAAACTGGTATAATTTGAGGGCAGGTTTAGGGGTGGCTTTTCCAACTTGGACCGCAAAGGGCAGCAAATGCGTCCTTCGACAACTCTGTTTCTGGAAGTGACTTGTTCTTCAAGAGACATCGGTTACAGCTTTCTTTTCTCGACATAGCAATTTTCGTAGTGGATAGAGGAGAGTCATGAATGCACTTTGGTGCAAAGGTTAAGTGTTCATTTATTTTGTTTTAGGAGTTATTGAAAGAAATGAAAACCTTATATCTCCAAAGACCTCGCGTGAAAGGGAATTAATCTGGGTGAGCGATCCCCAGTTCTGGTGCTCCTAGGCAACCTGATGATATGTTTAAACGACTAAAAAGCACGATGTTTCTTGACTTCCGTTCTTGAGGGCACTTTGGGCTATCTGTCCGAGCAAAATAATAAATATATTTTTTAGTTTTCGTAACTTAAGTCAAAAAGGATTCTCCAAAGATCCGTTGAAACACCATCTTGATCAAGGTTTTCAAACTTATTTTTTATTAATAGGATAAATCTTGAAAATTCGACAAATTCTGAATTTGGATTCTTACCCTAGAGAATGTACTTGACACAAGTACTTGATTATTCGGTAAGTACTTGTCAATGATCGAAATACTTGCCTTATTGCTAAGAAGCACTTTCGGAAAGTACTTGGCAAGTAAGGACAAGTACTTACAAGTAAATTTACTTCTGGAAAAAAGGCAAGTACCAGCTTCATTACGCAGACAAAGTACTTAGTCCAAGTACGTTCTCTAGAGTTGTACGTCATCTATTGCAAAAGAACAAAAATACCGCTTGAGGCAGGTTACTTGATCGCGGTTACTTGATTATACACTAAACACCGTAGAGTATGTATTATTTATTCAATTTGACAATGTTACTTTTGTGTTTTTATTTTATCAATTATTAGATATTTTGAAAAAAAAAACAATTTTCTTGTAACAACACAAGAGTAGGAATAAACTTTCTATTTTCCAGTAGGATGAGGACAATACATAAATTTTCTACTTCTTTACCAGCTATAGATGTCGCATGTCGCACAATAGCAGATGTATTTTTTACGAGTAGTCAGTCCAATTTCATTGATTAATGATACATCATCATTTCGGTTCAGAACATCTGCAGTAATATTATTTGCAGCTTGTTCGGCAAACTAGGAATAGAAAAGTATCATAGTTATTCTTATGAAACAGTATCTACTCGCTGAACCTGAGTGCTTCCAGTATTTGTCACATTTAGAATGCAGGCTTGACGTACAACGTCACAGTATCCTGATGCTGAATCGACTGTTTCTAGTAACTGATTTTTTGTTTCATTTCTGAATGCATCACAAACGCTTTGTGCTATCGCATTTGCTACTATTGCTGCTGCATCACTGGTACTTGGAGTAATATTGATATGAGATTGAACTCGAGTTTTTGATTTGCAACCATTCACACACACAATTCCCAGTATTAGTATATTTTAATGTTGTGACTAAAGTAAATTTATAATATACTTCGATTGAATACATAACAATTAAAGATATGTAGAAGAATGCAAATAACATGTTAGGTGTATACATACTATTTTCTGTATCCAAACACTGAAGAGGACTTTTTTGTATTGAATATTAATGTTATTTCCATCGCCTTTGTCGATTACAATATCTGTGATAATTCAAAAAATAAAGGAAAGTTGGCTTAAATTTTTAATGTGTGATCTATACACTATCCCCCTAAAAGAATCAGAACTTCACTGACCTGTCTGTCCGATCTTATGTCCCGAATAGGATAGTTTTTTCAATCGGCCTATAGAGTATATCCTGAACGGGATACATATCTTTATCGGGATCTTAATTGATCGTATTAAGTGAGGTTTAAACGTCTCAGTTAGTAAATTTAGGTCATAACATGCGGAATGATCACTCTAGAATATTAGTATTTTCAATTACGATCTCAAGAATCTTCAATATGTAGAAACACTCAAGTAGGGTCTTGTGATTAGTAAAAGGTTCGGACATTTTGTCTCTGAGGCATTTTAGTAACGTGTTAACACGTTACTAAAATGCTTCAGAGGCGTAAAATCATAGATCTCAGAATTCTTACATTCTGGCTAGGCTGAAAACGCATACTGTGGAAAAGTGCATACGTAGTGTTGTGTACCCGATTCGTCTGTTAAACGTGTTAAGTTATTGATATATATATATATATATGTAGATATTCATCCTCTTCCGAGTCGTTCGACTTTTACGACCTAACGGTGTTTTGAAATTGCTTTAGCCATGAGTTCTATTGTTGTTGTTTATTAGCGAAAACAAAAAATCCAGTGTCAGTGCTGACTGAAGAAAATTCCGTTACGATCAGTTAAAGACATGTGAAAAAAACAAAAAAAAAAAAAGTTCACTATTTGAAAAATAAAATCTGTGCGGATTTACAATTGTATCACATAGTTTTTCTACAGATTTAGATAATAAATGCATCAGGCTAACGGAGAAAAAGACGAAGGTCAAGTAACAGTTCGTTAGCACGAGTTTTATAATAATTAAATGATGTGCGATAAGATTTCCAGAATTCGAAAAAGTAAAAAAGTACATGTTTATATTTATCAGCTAACAGGCGAATTTGTTGACAGTTTTTACGAAAACCAAATATTTCTCGAGATGTTTGAAAATTAGAAAACAAAGTCCATGACTGGGCTGGGGAGACATTATCGGGAAAAGTAGAAAACTTAGACATAAACTTAATCCAATAACTAGAAAACCGATCCGTTAATGTACGTTCATCAGTGAGAGAAAAAAATAACTCCTACCCCAGATATACAATAGA